CAAGCAGGGAAGAAGTCGCGCCCCGCGAGAGTTCCGAGGAGAGCGGCAGCAATGCTCACCGCATCTCCGGGAAGCGGATAGACTTACGCCGAGATAATTGCCACCGCGAGGAAAGACCTGAAGTTGGAAGACAAGGAAATCAAGGAGGTACGCATCCGGCGAGCAATAACCGGAGACAGATGAGTGTCATCCTGGAGATTCCCGGCGAGGACAGCGCGACCAATGCGGACAACTTGGCCGGTCTCCTGCGAGAAGTATTTCAGAGTTGCCAAAATGTGAAGGTATCCCGGCCGTACAAGATGGCCGAGGTGCGCATAAGCGGACTGGACGAATCAGTTACCCCGGCTGAGGTAGCGTCAGCGGTGGCAAATGTCGGCGTGTGTGACATGGCCAGTGTGAAAATCGGCGAGATCCGACAGCGGACGCCGATGAGCATGGGGTAGGTGTGGCTGCGATGCCCGGCAGCAGCAGCCAGGAAGATCGCCACGGCTGGAAGGCTGCTGGTAGGATGCGGGTGAAAGCACCGGACAAGCGACCGCTGCAGTGCTTCGTCGGGAACGGACAGGAGCAGGCGTTGCTACAGATGCGGAGTAGACGGACACGTCGCGAGGACAACTGCAACGCCGCGATAAGACTGCAATGCCCACTTTGCGCCGACGTGGCAAACCGGATGACAATTGACGAGCAAATGACCTTCGAGGAGAACTTCGCCACTCTGCTGCAGAGAGTGGAGCGAGTGGCCGTCATGTTGAGGCAGATTCTGCCCAGCATCGGCGGTGCGGTGTACAGGGTCCGGAAACATTACACTTCGGTGATAAGGTCGATGGCCCTGTACTGCGCACCCGTTTGGTCGCGAGGTCTGACCGCGAAGCACGACATCGCCAGGCTGCTGCGGCGTCTTCAGTGACGAATGGGCATCCGGATTGTGCGAGGGTATCGCACGACCTCCGAGGAGGCGGCGCTCACCTTAGACGGGTCGATTCCGTTTGACCTGCAAGCGAGGGTGCAGGCGCAGGTGTTCCAACGCGCGCAGGAACTTCGCGAGTGCGTCGTTGGAAACAAAGAGAGGATATTCATGACGGCGAGACTGCGGGCGCACTAGAGATCACTTCAGGAGTGGAAGACGGAGCTAGAAGAAAAGGACGCCGGCAGCAGAATAATCGCGGGCACTATCCTTTCCAGTTGGAGCCAGTGTATGTAGCGAGGAGCGGGAAGGCTCACCTCCCGAACGACGCAAGTGATCACCGGACACGGCTATTTCGGTAAGTACTTGCACAGAATTGCGGTGGAAGAAAACGCCCACTGTCATCACTACAGCGCGGAGACAGACTCGGCGCAGCACACACTGGCGAATGCCCGGCCTTCGACACGCTCAGGGCTATCATCATCGGACCGGACTTGTCACCGGCAGCCATCGTGAAGGCGCTCGCAAGGA